TGGTAAATTAAGTAATTTTGAATATTTACTTAAATTAAATCAATATGCAAGTAGGTCATATCATGATCTTAGTCATTATCCTATATTTCCATGGATTATACAAGATTATACAAGTATTTCTCTTGATTTATCTAATCCTACAATTTATAGACCATTAGAATTACCAATACCTTGTATTAATCCAAAAAGACATTCTGAAGAAATGAAAAGATTTGAAGAATTATTTGGAAAGAATGGTGTAATTAAGGATCAAGTTGCATATATTTATCCAACATTTTATTCAGCATGTGATTATGTATTTCATTTCTTAGTTAGAGTTGAACCTTTTACAACAATGTTTATTCGAATGAATGAAAATCATTATGATAGACCTGAAAGAATGTTTTATTCAATTGGACATACTTGGGATATTTGTATGAATTCAACACAATGTAATATTGAATTAATTCCTGAATTTTTCTATCTACCAGATTTCTTAATTAATGAAAATTCATTTGAATTTGGAATAAATCCAGTAACTCAAACTATGGTTGACAATGTTACATTACCTCCATGGGCAAAAAATGCATATGAATTTGTTAATATTAATAGAAGTGCATTAGAATCACCATATGTTAGTTTAAATATTAATAAATGGATAGACTTAATATTTGGATATAAAAGTTGTGGTGAAGAAGCAAGAAAAGCAGATAATTTATATCATCCATCATGTTATATTGAAAATTTTATTAAAGGTGGAGAAGATGAAGAATTATTAAAGAAACGTGCTATGTTTAGTGGACAATTACCAGTTCAATTATTTACAAAACCACATCCAACAAGAAAATTAGCAATACCATTAATGGTTGATTTATGTACAAAACGATGTTATTGTAAAAGTTTAATTATTCCAGAAAGTCCATGTATTAGTTCATGTTTAGATGATAAAGGAATAGTAATGATAACAAAAAATACAATTTATAGAACATTATATTCTATGGAATATTGTCATAAAAAAGGAACAATTAAAAACAGAATATTTGATCAAAAATTATTATCAAGAAATAAAAGATTTGCTATTTCAAAATGTTGTGGTGTTATTCAAATTAATAGTGAACTTAAACAATATACATTAAAATCAAATGAAGTTACTTCAATTCTTTTATTTGAATATTTAAATAATGATTATTTAGCTTTTGGATGTTCTGATTCATTAGTTGGAATTTGTTGTTTAAATCAACCACAAGAAGTTCCAATTTATTTAAATGTACATCTTAATAAAATTACTTCATTGTTCTTTGATAATAATTCTCATATGTTATTTATTGGTGATGATAGTGGATTAGTATCATGTTATTCAGCAAATAATTGGAAATATATTTGGCATATTAAATTATTAAACAACACTACTGTATTGTCTATTATTACTTATGAACAATATATTTATGTTTCAACACCTTCTATATTATATGCTATTTCTTTTAAAGGAAAAATTATTACAAAATTAGATTTTTATGCTCAAATACTTGTTAATTCATTTATTCCTGGTACTATCGCAGCATTAACTAACAACAATGTGCTTTGTTTTATTTCAACATCATTACTTAGTTGTTTACCAATTGATGTAAATATGCCTGATATTTCCAAAGAAGAAGTTATTTCATTACATTATCATCCTAATGCAATCTATATTGTATTAAAAAATGGAACTTTGTCACGTATTTCCATGTCGTTATTTGATAACTAGTTTTGTTTTTTTTTTCAATCATTTTTTATATCAATAAATGCAGAAATAGTTATGTTGTTTAAACAAAAGATCTTTTTGTAAGATCTTTGTTGTAAAGAGTGTATAAAACAATATTATCTAATTATTTAAAGATAATATCTTAAAATATCGAATAAAGTAATGAGTGTTATTATGGTTACAACACAAGAACATATCAATCAATTCTTATCAAAAAATGATAAAATTGTTCTTGATTTCTTTGTTTGGTGGAAATGTCCTATTCAAACAATAAATACAATTAAACAACTTGCTTCCTCCCATAAAGATGTAATTTTTCTATTAGTTAATTCTGAAGAATCTTTTGATTTATTACAAACATTCTCAATATGTTCATTACCAACAATTATTTTTATGCATCGAGGAGTTGAAGAAAAACGAATAAAAGGAGCATCAATTGATGATTTATCCAATTTATTATCAAATGAATATTTTTGTTAGTTTTTTTTGTTTGTAAAGAAGATGAAAATAAATCAAATAATACGAATTATAAACAAACACTATAAATAACAAATAATCATTAAAAAATATAATTCTCTGTAAGTAGTTTTACAAACAATTTATTATAATATAAAATGTAATTAAATTTAAAATGGAACAATAACCATTTATATATATTTAATACATTTAATATTCTATTTAATATTGATTTTTCTAATTGATTATTACAAATGTTATGAAACAATTTCTTATAAAAGTATTATTTATGATAAAATTTAAATAAAAACATTAAAAAAAAAGAAAATTCTAATTTAAAGTTCAATATGACTTTTTTCTTTAACAAGTTGAGTTAGTAACTCATAAGTAATTTTCTCATTTACTGTCTTTTCTGTTTGTAACGAAAAAGTGGCACCTGCAAGTCCATAATAAATTGCTCTGTCAATTGGTTCCCCTCTACTTAAAGCAGAAATTGTTGAAGCTGAAAATGCATCACCAGCACCATGAACGTCAACAATTAAATCTACTCCAAATGCTGGATATTCTTTAGAATATAATTGTCCATTCCTTTTTTCAACAAGTAAACATCCAGCAGCACTTAATTTAACAATTAATGTTTTAATACCTCGATTAATAAATAATTCTGCCATTTTAATACATTCATCAATATTATCTCCATCACACACACCTCCTTTGTAACCTAATTTCTTACTTAACCATCCTATCTCAAAGTTATTTGGAGAAAAATAGTCAATTCGAGACATCACTTCTTCATTTAAAATTTTTAATGAAGTTTCACCAGTTGGTTCAATCCAAATCTTTCCTTTAGCATATTTTAATGCTTCTTTAATAATATCTAAACCAAAGTTAGTATCCATAATAACATATTCAGCATTAGAAATTTCATTTTTAAATTGTTGAATGTTTTGAACTTTCATTCCTTTTAATGCTCTGCTATCAATGACACCAGCAGTTAATTGACCTGAAGTATTAATTACTCCACTATATACTGGTGTTGCAAATTCACTTTCAACTAATGCGTTTGTTTTCATTTTTATATCTTTGAAATATTGTTTTAACATCTTTCCAAGAAGATCATTACCAATTGTGCTAATAAATAAAATATCATTACCAATTCTATGAAGATTTTCTGCAATATTATGTCCTACTCCTCCTCTATTTTGATTGACAGTTCCTTCTACACTTACTTCTGGTAAAACTTCTGCTTTACTAATAAAATCTATAACACTAGCTCCAATAACTACAATCTTTGATGGAGTAACTTCTTCATTAAGAGTATCTTCATTAGGACTATTTGTTAACAAACTTAATTCATAAGCAATTGATGCTCCTACTTTTGCATTATTTTTAATTAATGCAACATTTGCACGAACTGTTTGAGAATTAGTGTGTGTGTTTAAATAATTTAATAAAAATGGAGTAGTAGCTTTCCCTTCAATGTGATGAATTTCTGCTTCTTTTAAGGCAGCATTAATCCATTTATTTACTTGATCTAATTCAAGAGCATCTTCTTTTGGAATAGGAACTGTGACAAGTATTCCCTTATTAATATGTAACTTTCTATTCCAATTAATAATTTCTGCAATAGTACTAGTTTCATTAATAGATGGAATATGAATATTAGAGTTTGGTACATAAAATTGTGGAAGAGTAGTTGTTCGATATCCATAAACAGAAACACTTTGTGTTTCTAAGTATTCAACTGTTTTATTAACATCTAATATAATTTTTGGACCAGCTGAAACAACACAAATTGGATTTGATCCAAGTTCTATAAGGTCAGCAGAAATATCCATTGTAACTTCAGCATTACGATGAACCCCTCCTAATCCACCAGTTACAAATACTTTAATACCTACCATTGATGCTATTCTTGATGTAGCAGCAACAGTTGTAGCACCCCATTGTTTTTTAGCAATTACTCCTGAAATATCACGAACACTAACTTTTTCAATTCCTTTTCTTTGAGAAAATTGTGAAATGAGATCTTTACTCATTCCAACATGGATTTTTCCTTCAACAATACCAATTGTTGCAGGTACTGCACCATTTTCTCTAATAATATTTTCTATTTCATTAGCAACATTTTCATTATCAGGATATGGTAAACCATGTGATATAATTGTTGACTCTAATGCAACAATTGGTAACTGTTGTTTCATTGCATTTTTTACTTCATCACTCATTTCAATCAATTCAATGAAATTATCTTTTTCTTTTTCATAATTCATTACTGAATTGGTTTTAAAGAATTTAATAATTTCATTTATTTCATTTTTAAATAAATATGATCCCCCTGATATAGAAATGAGAATTCCTCCACATATTATTATTGTAGCAAATAAAATATTTATGATGGTATTATTCATTAAGAGAATAATTTAAATTACATTTTTTTTAGTTCTTTCATATTCCATAGTTTTTATTTTATGTTTATTATTTTTTTTTTTTTAAGAATTTTTCTTTTAAATGGAAATTCAAATGGAAATTTTTATTTAAAATTAGTGTTTAACAGGTTTTGTTGATGACATGTTAGACACATCATATAAATATTAAAATAAATAAAATAATTGAACCACAAATTATTTTAGGATTATTGTATTGCCGTTTGGTTAGTAAATACCTTCTTCAATACTGAAAAAATAACAATGTTTATGTTGCAGTGTCATTTATTATAATAGAAGAATGAATAGTTGTAAAAAGTATATTTGGTAATATAAATGTATTATCAAAGAAAATGAATATGAATATTTTATAAATGAAATTATAGAATGCTATTGTAATGATAAGTTTATATTCATTATAAAATAAAAAAAAGTAAAGAATGAGGTGTTTTAATATCCATTAATTTTAAACAGAGAAGAGAAGGTTATTTAAATGAAGAATAAATACGTTGATGAAATAAGAAAAAACATTGATTCAATGAAAATAAAAAAAATGAAAAATAAAAAATAATTAATGAATAAATAAATAAATAATTTTAAAACATAAAAATAGGATTAATAATCTCTTGTGAACAAAGAAGCAAAGAAAATAAATCTTAAAGCACCTTTCTATTTAACTTCTTTTAAATTAAAAATTATTACATTTTTATTTAACAAACTTCTTAAAAATTTGAATAACAAATTTTATTTAAGTTAATGTTTTTAATAATTGTTATTTTCATTTGATATTAACCAATAAGTTTTTTAATATTTTCTTTTTTTTTTTTGTTATTTATCAAAAGTAAAAAGAAGATGAAAAATAATCTCACATTTTGTCTAATGTCATTTACTTTCATTTTAGACGTTGATGGAACATTGGCTTCTTCAAAGAGAAATGCTGTGAGTGAAATTGATAAAAAAGTTATTTTAGAAGAAAAAGAAAAAGGAAATAGAATTATTATTGCAACAGGAAGATCAATTCATGAAACAAAACATATTTTAGAAGCAATTCAATTTAATGATATTTTAATAAGCTCTAATGGAGCTCTTTCGCTTCAGGATAATAAGATATTAAATTATATGCCAATGAATGCATCACAAGCAAAAATAATTATTCAAATTTGTAAAGAACAAAACTTAAATGCATGTGTTGTTAGTTGTATAAAAACAAACGATATGTTTAAAGAATTATTTTCAGAAATTAAAGAGTATCAACCAACAGAAGGAGAAGAATTTTTAGATATTGTATTATATGCTAAAAATTCACAAGAAAAAGAACAATGGATAGAATTACTTCAAAAAAATGTTGGTAATGAATTAATTGTTAAAAATTCAGGAGATGTTATTATTGAAGTTTTTAATAAAGATTTAAATAAAGGAATGACATTACAAAGATTATATGAAATGAATTTGCTTGGAGAAGGTAAAAGAATTGTTTATGTAGGAGATTCAGATAATGACATTCAAGCACTCCAATTTGTTAGAAAGATTGGTGGAATTGCAGTTGCAATGGGTAATGCTTTTGAGAGAGTTAAAAAAGAAGCAACTTATGTTACTACAGATGTAGATAATAATGGAGTTGCAAATGCCATTCATTGGGTTTATTCTTCAAAAAAAATAAATTGAATTAATTTATTAATGATTTAACTTTTTTTGAATTTTTTTCCATTATTTCATTTTGATGTTCAATCATTTTAGAATGAACTTCTAGTTGTTGTGAACTTATTTTGATTTCTTCATTTAATTGATTTGACAATTCTTTCATTTCATTGACATGGTTCTCTAAAATATTCATTTTCTCATTTAATTCTTTATCTACTGTATTTTGGTGAATTTTTTGTTTTATACAAACTTCTTCTTGTTTTTCTTGTTTGTTCATCTTTGTTTTTCTTCTTCTTTCGTTTTTTTCTTTTTTTTGTTGTTGGTTTTGTTTTTGGGTTAACTTCTCTTCTTTTTTTTCTTGATTGTTATAATCTTTTTCAACTCTTTTTTGAATATCATTAAGTCTTTTTTTAGAATAACGTCGGTTATTTTTTCTAAATAACTCTCTAAGAGATGGTAAAAACCATTTGATTTTATAGAGATGTTTCTTTGTCTCTTGTTGTTCTGAATCGATTGTAATAAGGTCTTTATTGATTCTTTTTAAATGTTGATTTTGTTGCTTTAATTGACTAATCCCATTTTTTCCTATATCAATTGATTCATTAGTAAGAGCAATAGAGTTATTAATGAGATTAATATCAGATTGAATTATTTGATTAAATTTATTGTTCATAATCTTTTTCTTACTGAAACAAAAAGTGTTATTTAAATGACGTTTTGATAAGATTGTATCTTTAAGTTAGATGATAAATTCAAGAAAGAACGAAAGAATGAAATAACGAAAGAAAGAAAGAAAAATAAATGGAGATAAATAAATTCCAGAATTTGGTTTTGTTTTTATATTTTGAAAAAAGAGGAACTTTAAAATTTATATTTATTTAGTGATGGCAAAATGTCGTTTTTTTGCGTTAGAAATTAGAGAGTTTACAAGTTATTTAAATTATAGAACATTAGAAAGATTGAGAATTGTTAATAAACGATATTTTCAAATAACACAAAAATTATTACAAGTAAATGTATTTGATATTGATGGTAAACGATTTGTTAATTCTCTGATTGAATCAAACACAATTAATATTTTACCTACATATACACATCCTACAAGCAATCACCTCTTTAAGAATTTGAATTGGGTTGGTTCAATTTTTGGAAATCCAACAATAATTTTTGATTATAGTGCTGTTGTTTCTCCTAGTCAAATGGAAACAATAATGCAAATTAAAAGTGCTAAACAACTTGAGGTGGTTATGGATGTTGATTCTGTTTTAGGTCATAAAAGTAGAGTTGAAAAAATAGTTAATCAATTTCCTCAACTCAAACAACTTAAATTATCAATTGATCCTGGTGAAGGAAATGAAAATCAAAGAGATGCACTTCAACATTTAACTAAATTAGTTCATCTCACTTCTCTTCAAACATTTTCATATCATCATAATTTCATATACTTTAATAAACTTAATTATCTTAATATATTTATTAATGATAGTATTGAATTGGATTACTTTCTTAATGACATTCCTCAACTTATTACTGTCCAACGTCTTACTCTTAGAACAAATAATGAATTCCAATTACCTCATTCCTCTATACTTCAATTAACATCATTAAATTCACTTGAAATATTAAATTTGTCAAAGTGTAATTTCAATTTTAGTAGTGAATTGGTTTCATTACAATCAATTTATCGAATTAAAAAGATCTTTCTTTCATTTGACATACACATTACTAATGAAATTATTGACCAACTGTACTTATTTCCACCTATCTTTATTATCCAACTTAGTTTTACAATTGATGGTAATAATGAAATTCCAAATAGATTACTTCCTCCTAATGTTTGTATTTCTAATGCAACAATACAAGAAGTAGTTCAAGAAAATGATTTTATAACTTCAGTAATATCAAAAGTTGATGTATTAACAACAGATATACCTAATATTCCATTTAGTCCAAATGCATTAATTATTATTTTAAACCATATAACTGATTCAAGACTTCTTAGATTTAACAATACTAATTATTTAATTTCTGTATTACTTTGTGGTGATTTAGGTGATGATTCAATTCACTCACTTCTTACATTAAAATATCTTAAAAAATTTAAATTATTTGATGGAAAAATATCAACACTCTCTTTCCTTTCTCATTTTCATTTAGATACATTAGCAATTGTTGATTGCACTTATCCTATTAATGACTTTCATTATATTACTGAACATACTTCACTTTTAGTCATTACATTATTAGTTTCACATGAATATTTGACTCAAGAACAAAATTCTAAATTAATGCAAATGCCATTTCTTCAAATGCTACGAACTTATTATTGTTCAATGTCAATTGATAAAAAGTTCCATCCATTTAGAATTCAATACTAAAATTCTACCCTTTTTTTGTCATTGTAACCTCTATTTCATTCCTTTTTTACTAGTTTTAAAAAAGAACTTAAAATAAACAATATAGTTCATGTCTCAACAAAGTCCTGTTCATAACCAAACATTTGGTTTTGATCATTCTTCATCATCAAGTTCTTCTCTTGTTATTTTTAACCAAATTGAACGAAAAATTAATGGTAAATTAATAAACGAACGTGTTCCTGTAATATTTGCTTTTGCAATAAATGGTAAAAGAAAAGAAATTTTTGATAATGAATTATTACCACCTCATCTTAGCGAAAAAGACTCAAAAATTAATTGGAAATCCCCTTTAGATAAAAGTTCAGTTATTCATATGGCTGCAATTTATGGAAAAACAAATTTTGTTAAACAACTAATTTCAGTTGGAGTTGAAATTGCCGTACAAAATAATGATGGAAATACTCCACTAATTGCTGCAATTAAAGCTGGAAGAACTAAAATTGCAGTAGTTTTAGCTCGTAAAATGTCTAAAGACCAAATTAATCATCAAAACAAAAAAGGAGAAACTGCATTATATTGTTGTGTTATAAAAGAAAATACAGTTGTAATGGAATCACTTATTAAACATGGTGCAAATGTTAATATAGCAACACAAAATGGAACAACTCCATTAATGTTATCATTGTATAAAAACTTTCCTGACATAATTAAAATATTACTTAATGAAAATGCTGACACAACTTTAGTTGATTCAAATGGTCAAAATTGTCTTCACTACTATGCTAGAACAGAAAAGTATCAACCACAAACTATAAATTATATTCGAGCTATTTCAAAAAATAAAACACTCTTCAATTCTCTTGACAAAAGTGGTCATAAACCAATTCATTATGCCATTGAAGTTGGAATAGCTGATATTATTAACCACTTTCTTTCTATGTCTTCTTTAAAAGATGTTGGAATAGTATACACTGAAGTAGAAACAGTTTGTAAGTCAACTCAAAGAAAAAGGGCATTAACTGGAAGAGATAGAGTTAGTGTTCTCATTAAAACTGATTCTTTAGGTTATGAAATTAATGCTACTAATAAACCCAAAGAAATGGATGATTATATTAACAATGAAGAACGTCAACAAAAATGGGATGAAATGATCAAATTTTATCAAGACAAACATAAATTTCATCCAAAGCTAATTTTCAGATTATATAAAGGAGTTCCTTGTAATAAACGTAAAGACTTATGGAAGGTAATGCTTGGGATAGATGAAATAATAAAGGAAAATGAAGGTGAATTTTCTAAACTAGCTTTGTTGGAAAGGGGTATTGAAGAAGATGATCAGATTCATAAAGACGTAATTCGAGCTCATCAAAATAATGTTAAGTTTATGTGTAAATTCAGTGATGGACAGAAAAAATTGTTTTTAACATTAAGGGCATATGCCAATAAAGACACTGAAGTAGGATATGTTCAAGGACTTGCTGATTTATTTGGTTTTTATGTTTTAGTGTTTAGTACTGACGAAGAGGCATTTTGGAGTATGTACCAAACAATGAACTTACCAAAGTATCAACTAAGGTGTTGTTTCTTAAGAGGATTTCCTGGTGTTCAAAAGTTTAAAACACTAGAAACATTAATGCTCAAAAAATACCACCCAGAAATTTACACAAAAATTATGAAACTAGGAGGATATGATAGTCTTTATCCTCATTTATTAGAATATTATGCGTTATGGTTTTCAAGACTATTTACAGGAGACCTTGGTATTTGGATTTTAGATATTATCATTGTTGAAGGTTGGCAACTTACACTAAGTGTCGCTTCAACAATCTTCTTTTTATTAAAAGACAAAATTTTGGACGAAGAAGATGACTTAATGTCAATCGATATTTTATTAAAAAAACCTCAACAATTAGTATCTGGTTTCGACAAGTTTTTATTCATCAAATATGTTAAAAAGAATAGAATTCCTCCTTCACAAGTTGATAAATGGGCATCTCAATGTATAGAATCTAATTAACATTTTTTCACTTCTTTTGTGTTTTTCTTGAAACTAAAAAGGAACTTAGAAAAATATTATGACCGAACCTATGGATATCATCAAAAATATTGAAGAAGATGATACTTTTGAAGTCATCCAAGATAAAACAAAAATAACTGAAGCTGCTAAAAACCCAATCCAATGGTCAACTCACTGGGAAGATAATCAACGAGATGAATATGTGAAAAAAGTCCAAAACGCCTTAAACCAAAAGTGATTGTTTTTTTAAAATTTAATAACTTAATAATTTATAAAAAAAAAGAAGAAATAATAAGAAATATAAAGTAATTAATTAAGTATTAATAGATTTTTCATTTATTCTTCCTAGTTCAGGGGAGACTAATCCCTGAGCTGTTTAAAAAAAAGAGTAATCTCTTTGTTGAACATATTCTTTAGGTTTTTCTTAGAAAATGAGGAAAGCATTTCTTTGTTTTATTTCTCCTAATTAAGGGTTTTCAAACTTCTTCTGCTTATTCATTCTTTTTAAGCCTTTGTTTGTTTTCTATCTTAATTTTAAGGAATTTCATTTTTCTTATTTTATGAAAGAGAGAAGGAATCATTTCATTACTACTGTATTACTTTGACTAATCTTCTTTTAGTCTTACCCACACTTCAGTAGATTCTTATATTACATCCATGTAATATTCTACTATATTCTCTTGCTGCACCCTTTGCACCATTCCCTAATACATTTCTAATTCAAATACATCATCATAACCAAATAATAACTGTGAGATTCAAAGCTTGAATTTGTACTAATGTTTGTGTGTGTATTTCAGACATGCCATCTTTGATCTTATGAATAAGAAATAATAAAAAAGGTCAATTATTAGATATATCCATTATTGGATTTTCTTCATACTGAGAAGTGTTTATTTCAGTTTCTTCAATATGCTCTATTGGTGTAATAGAGTTCATTTCTAGTATGATTGCATTAGATTATTCTTCTTCTAATGTGCTGTCAGAATTGAATGTGTAAAACATTAAGTCTTTCATATTTTTTATTATTATTGTTCGTAGGATTTTGGAGAAGTCTAATTGTAATTTTAGTGATTTTACTCTTCTTACTGATTCTTTATGTATTAGTCCATTTATAGATAATATAACAGGTATTATTTCTACATATATTAATTCTTTATTATTTCTTATTTTCTCTTGTAAATCTTTGTATTTATTTATTTTGTGAATATAATTTAATTCTAAATTATTATCTTGACATATAACAACATCTATAATATATCATTTCTTTTCTGTAATATTTTGATAATATATATCTTA